ATAAGCAAGCATGTCTTTATAACTGCTGTTCAAAAAAAACCTTTTATTTTCAAGAATAAAAAAACTACTTTGAGTCATGTTTGAACTGATGCAGCTTCTGTGTTTTATTCACCCAATTTTAGAATGTACTGTATATATTCAGAAACTAGAAGGAGTTAGCTTTCAAATAATGTATCACACATGTAATTTGGACTTACAGTTCCTAAGTTATTTGCTTTTCCATTTGGGTATGCAAAATAGGCGAGAATTTCCCAAAATGAGGTGGATATTAAGAGGTTAAACTACCTCAACGGGCGTGTATCCCTATAGTCATGTACATAAAATTAAAAGATTAAAAACAATTTAAGGTCAGATCGCCATACTCTTCAATAAACACCAAAAAGTAAATAATTAAATAGTTTTTTTGTACGTGATTAAACTGGTACATGCTCATTGAGGTAGTTTAAAGTCTAATTTTGTACAAAACTAAAGGGATAAACTTAAGCGATAAACCGGGATAAACAAATGGAAAGGGATAAGGGGGTATTGACTATGGGTATGCTGGCCTGACTGGGTATGCTTATCTGACAGAACGTTGCATCATTTCCAAAGAAACTGACCTTAAATCATGTTTTCGGACAAACTGACAGCTTTTATTGTCATTTTCTATAAATAGTGTAAACAAAATGAAATTTCGTTTTGTACAGCTTTCAGACAGTGAATGAGCAGCAGCTTGGCAGTGAAATTAACATTTACATTTATAAAATGCAGCAGTGATCCAACGTAAACACGGTGGGAGAAAAAGAAAAAAAAACATGGTGCAAACATGCATTGATATGGAATTTCAGAACATTTCAAGTCAAATATATATGTTGCAAATATACAGTATTTTTGGTTTGGTGTTATCAGTATGATGCAGAGTCTGTGGTGATTTAGAGGTTATTTTTTTCTTGTTTCCCAACTGTTCAGCAGTCTGATGACAGTGGGGAAGAAGCTGTTGCATAATCTGCTGGACATGCAGCAGATGCTGCAAAGCTTTCCAGGTATTGAAAGAGATCAATACCTGGAATGTTAAACCCAGGCTGCTCTCTATTAGCCCAATAAAGCATGTTGTTGTCCAAAAGTAGGAATTTCTACAAAACTACACTGCTTTTATTATTTTTTTTAAGTCGGTCTAGTGTATTAGAAATTGATTTCAAAGCATATGAAACGAACATTTGTGTTTTGCACAGCTACAGCCACTTTGATACGGAAAGTATGTTAAAACAAATATAACTATTATAATTAGTCTTAACTGACTACATTGACACCAAAGAAACTGATAGCAGCATTTCTTTTCTCAGTTGTTTATCTCCTCTATAAAAGTGCCTCTTCACGATTCGTTTACACTATAGAGCAGGTTGGGCAAAGTTTGGATGCAAGAAAAAAATTTATGGATTTTCTGTGCATTCACTACAGCATAAGACCTTTATTATTATGCACCATCTTATCTCATGTACAATTAGGTGCATAATGATCCTACCAGGCCATTGCTGAATGTGATCACAAAGTAATAGAAAGACGTATCACAGTTTATCAAATGTCATTATCATTTTATACTGTGTATTTGGAAGCCCATTTCTGCCACTTCCAACAAAAAAAAATGGTACATAGTATGAGATCTAAAGTTATAAGTCATGATTTGAACTTTCAAAGTGATGACTGTGAAAAAATGTTTCGCAATAATGACTTTGAAAGTCAAAATCAACTTGCATTAACTTGAGCAACAATCTTTTCCTTTGTCATCTTCCTCTCAATTGCGGCTGTAGCGCTGTTTCTCTGTCTTTTAAATACATTGTCCATTTATTTATTTCATTTCTGTATTAAAATCTTTAGTTCCAGTGGGGTAAAATAGACCCTTCCTGTTGCCTGTGGTCATGATCACTTGTTGAATCGCTGCTCCACTAATAATGGCTTTTTAAACTTGTTATGCACACGTTAAAATCTGATAGGACCTACTTGGAGTGGATTGAACTAATTCATAGCAGCCATTGTGAAACCGAAAACTTAGAGTTCTTGACCTTAGGGCAGATCAATTTAGAGTTACAGATTTAAATCTGAGTTTGTTACACATGTTTCATGAAATGGACCCAAGGCCTAGTGACCTTTGCTGGATGTCTTCTTCCACTCTAAACCATCTCCTGTCTTGCATACAAAAATAAAGACCACTAGAGCTGAAAAAATTATCTAAAAATTATAAAATGGAGAAGTATAGTCTTTACAAAAAAGCCTGCTGTGACATAACTGACCATCAAAACTGACAGACCATGCAGAGACAGAGTTAACCAGAAAAGCAACTAAAATAACAACCTAAAATCTATCTCACATCAACACACATCTATCTCTTTAAAAGAAGAGAGGAAAAACAAAAACTCAACTGCAAGTCCAACTATTGGTCTCATATACCATGTTGAGAATAAATTAAACACATGATCTGGATGGACAAAACTACAATGCACTGTTGAAGTCTACCACTGAACAGCTGAACACTGATAAACATGGGGCTTGTAAATGCCTTTTGTAGTGAAAGTTGGTTTGACACAGGGGTTTGAATATAAAATTAAGCCTTATTAAACTCCTATTCTTTGATTAAATAAGAAAATATTATCTTCTATTCCATAAACTCGCACTATTATTTTTTTATCTACTACAAACAAACTTGGTAAAATATTGAAGCTGTGAGTCAATACTTTTTAAGATGGTTTTCTTGAGATAAAGAGATAATTTTTATAATTGTTTAAAGATAACAAAGCCTTTTTCTCGTCAAAATGGATTGATTCATCTCGAGAAAATAATCGTTTTCTCGAGATTGTGAGATGTGATTGATGTGTGAGTTAAACTGATTAGGCCTTCATCCTTTAATAGCACAACTGTGGGAGAGGATTTATTTGTGAAAGTCATGTGTCATTCTGTGAATAATCCTATGAATAGCCAAACTTTTAGGTAATGAGACAAGTTTGTAGGTTAGTTGGTTTGCTTCCACCTTTGTTTCATGATAATCATCTCATTATGTAGAGGAAACAATAACTGTTTGTCATAATAAGAGCTTTGTTATTATCTTGAGAAAATTGATTTTTTAATGAGATATGCATCTTGCTATCTCGAAAAACAATTAATGATAACGAGATAGTTATGTCATTATCTCTAGAAAACAATAAAAAAACATTACTCTTTTCTGAGTAGTTAAAGGCACTAAAGTATTTGGTTTTATTAAGAAGTAGTTTCAAAAGACACTTACTAAACACTTTGCAAAATCTTTACTTTTTGTGAGGTTAAGCCTTTTTTATTTTGAAACTTTTACTTGAACTGAATAAATACAACAACAACAAAAATCCAACATTTACTGTTCCTATTATGGAGCAGTGAATTGTAATTCTTACAAAACACCTGAAGCGTACAAATGAAATAAGGATTTTATTTTGAAGGCGTATTAAATAGTTTCCGGTTTGTGGCGGCTCCTTGACACAGCTCTTATAAGCCCGCCTTCGTCAGCAAATCTCACGCCAATCATTCTTCTCGGGAATTCAATGAGCGCCAGCTGGAAAATGGAGGCGCAAAAATAGCTCACAGGACCAAAGTTTATTGTCATATAGCTATTTTATGCATTTCTTTCAATATATTATCTTTTCACCTTCTACTAGCCCATTACTCCGGCTGATAAAATACGAATTAGCTGATTTTCCGCTTTGACTCCTGTTATTTTCATGAAAACAGTTATATGTACTACATTTATTCACCACTAGGGGTCACCATTTAAACACGGAAAACATTGTTCTGTTTTGTTGTAAATTTGTTTCTGTGTGTCATACAATTTGAATAACATTGAATGAGATAGTAGAATTTGATTTAGGGGGACATCCAGTTAATCCCAACAACCTCTCAAAACAGCTGACATCCCTTTTAAGTAGTTCATACATAAAGTCTTTTTAAATACATAGGAATAGCAACAAAGTATGCTGTTTTGTCTGTTGGCCCCTTTCACCCCATCAGATATAACTTTGATTATCAATACCTGAACGCTTATGATATGTTATCTATGAGTGGTTTAATCTCTCATAAAGTAAACATGGATGTTTAACAACACACTGTTGTAAAGTATTTTGGCAAGTATGTTCTGAAAGTTTTTTCATTTTCTTAAAAAAAAAAAAACCCAAACAAAATAAAATTACATGTTCTTTCATGAGGATCGCAAAAAATAAAAAGAAGAAACAATCCAAATCCAACTCTTGAGAAGAGGCAAAATTCATTTAGATAATCAGCATTACCATCTCTTAACCTCTAAATTAATTTATCAGATCTTTCTTTCTTTTTTTTTTTTTTGAGGACTGTCTGATTCAGATCTCTGTCTGACTGACTGGTGCAGTCTTACCTAAATGTTAAGTCATGATGATCAGACATGTGCTAGGGAGACCAGAGACGGTTGCGACAGGGGATGGCTGCAATATGTTATTTAATCTCCAATATAAAAACAAACTTAAGTAATTATACTCATATAAAAAAAAAATTATTATTTGCCTCCTCTTCCAGAGATAAAGCAAGCAGATACAAGAGCCTATGCAGGATTTATAATTAAAAAAAAA